ATCTGGCATTTCTAAGCACTTGCAGACTTTCTCCCACAGTCCCACGCCGGTGTCCCCCTTCGTTTATTGGCTGTAATACAGCCCAGCAGGAACTGCAAACAGCACTACATGACACTCTGGCAAACGGGCCTCCCCAATACGGAGCACATAGCAGGCGTGAAATGGAATTAGCTCTAACCTCGACCCTCTGTAATGACCGAGCCAGCCAGCAATCATCCCCCTGTTGCTTCCTAGCCATTAGCATACACTGTGCTTAAGCTGTGGTGAGAGACTGTTCTTCTCAGTGTGTCTGAGACCTGGTTTCACTATTGGAGGCATGAAGTGGGTGGAAGGCGTGTACCAGTGTGACTGCAGGCCAGAGCAGAGCTGGGATTAATCCCTGTGCAGGTTATCCAGAGGTCACCAAGGGATTGCTCTTCCTTTTGCATTTTGAATACCAGATCCAGATCCTTCTCCACAAGTAACCCACGCCGGCAGCTCGAATACCCCGCCTCCCCCACTCTCAATCTAGAGTGCTTCACATTTTCGGTGAATTAAGATCACCAGCAATACTGGGGTATTGTCTTTGTGTAAATGAACTTGTTTGCTTCTACGATCACCGCACTGTATTTTAAGGATCTGTTTGTTTGTATTGCAGCTATTGGACTTGTTCATGGTGTGGGACTGGTCCACTTACCTAGCAGACTACGGCCAGCCCACTTCAAAGTATCTTCGGGTCAACCCGTCAACTGCACTTGCACTTTTGGAGAAGTCAGTATTGCTCTTGCGCAGCCTTTATTTCATTACCTATGCTCCTGTTTATCCTAAGATATGTTTTAAAGAAACTTTAATTCCTATGTTGATGTGAAGTAAAGATTACTGGTGGTGTTCCCATCAGCACCTAATATGCAGTTTTCTTTCTCTTTGAATGCTAACGTGACAGAGTCAACCGAGGGTAGGTAGTAACAGTTTCACACAATTCCATCTTGCAGTGTACTTGCATACACCGGTGGAGCTATTCTCCATATAAAATCCAGTACTCTACAGTACTCACAATCCTCGACTCGATTTGGTCAGAAGGTGTTGATTAATTTTCTATAACAGCATGACTCTGAGTGTAGTTCCATCTACAAGGCAAATCACCGGTTTATACTAATGCATTTATTCTAATACGTTACCAGTCCTGTAGTAACATCTTACACAAGGACGTGTATGGCGGATGCTGCAGATAAACTGATTTTTAAAAAGGTTTTCTACAAGGTAACATTTATTTAGCATTTTTGGAATGAGTCTCCAGTGTCAGCGCTTAGAGGGAAAGCTGTAGTGTTATGCTGTCTGACACAGAGAGTCTTCAGGACAGAGGACCTTGCACTTTGCTGTGTTTTTCTGTCTTGTAAACCTAAGAGAAAAAATACAGGCTGGCGAGGGAATGACTGTTTATAGCTGCTGTAACGTAAGTGATAACGTAAGGAGCTAACTTGTTGCACAGACGTACCACAACATTTACTAGAACTTTAAATGGATAAAACATACAAAGTGTCTTTAAAAAAAAAAATGTTAACATTGGCAAATTGCAGTGGTGTAGAGGAATAGAATCCCTCTTAAATATGGGG